TGGATTTGAATTGGACAAAGACTTCGTTTATTGTGGTCGTTTATTGCGTGGAGAATCTGGAAGGAAGTGCGTGTCGACTGCTGACAAGTGAGTAATTTTTAATTTTGTGGATAGAGCAAGAACACTAGTGTAATTGAACAACGCGGATGAGTTTGCTTGGAGGGGCCTTTTGGGTAGGTTGTGACTGCACTGATTTACGCTATTAAATCTTGTCAAAGGTACAAATTTACCGTGAATAATCACTTGAAACGGCTCAATCCGTTTTACTTGTTCCCATCGTTCCTCAAAGCAAAAAGAATATCTCTGTGTTGTTTCAGACGTGAAAAATTGATTATCTTTCTCGTTGCATAGTGTATGGCTCCTTGCTGTCAAAATTCGTCGAATTTCACCATTCCAAAATTGCTCCATCTTTTTTATACACTCTCGGAAACTAACCAGTAAACTGCCATATAAGAGTGAAATATGGCATGAGTGTTTCATAATTTCATCACAAAATGATGAAAGTTCATAATCTCATATTGACAAAGTAAGAGGATTGTGTTCAATGGACCACGTTTTTGTTGTACACAAAAATTGGAAGAACTCGTTTCTTAAGCTGTCAATTCAATTGAATTTACTTCAGTACGAATCCATAAATTGTTTCCCTCACTCAGTCACACAACCTAGCTGCTCACATAAACTGTCTTCGGTTGATTCAGTAGGTCCATTTAATGAAGTTAGTTCTCGACTGTGCCAAATTTTGCTAATATCCTCGGATAAATTACTCTCAAATCCTCCCATAGCATCACGAGAGACTTATTTGCAGTAATTTTTATGAGTTCTATCCTGAGGATTTTAATGAATCCATTAAACTTTCTGCTATTCTTTCGACATTTGCAAATGTGATTTTTGAAGTGGTGGTCGTTCGGTACTGTCGCATAACGTTTTTCATGCTTCAACTGATGAAAAACTGGAAATAATATCGGTTTAGTAATGAATTGTTCCTTATAGTCTTCCATTTTACTTAATGAAAGACTGTAAGGAACAATTGTTTAGGATAAGCTTGACTTTCAATTTGCTTATCAACATTTCCTCATTTTCTCATTTTACTTCATCGATCCATCATACTCCAGCACTAATGAACCAGATTCACCTCCTACAATCCTTTTTGATCATCCGATTATCGAGATTATCGTTTATTGTTTTAGATAAATGATAAAATGCGATCATTCTGTGTACTGTTGGTTGTTGGATCGTTACTGGTGGCTGTGTGCTTCTGTCGACCACCGACACCCGAAGAAGTGAAGGAGCACGAGCTGATCGATTACTTCAACGATTACGATACCCTACCGAACATCTCGTTGATCCCGGACAGCTGGAAGGAAAGTGTGAAAAAAGAGAGAATGCGCTACTTGCAAATGTTACAGCAGCAAGCATTCAAGTGATTCACTATTCATCCTCCTCACTTGTAAATATGATTCTTTGAATTTCCAGCTTTTCAATGCTCTCGCTTCATCATGATCTAATTTTCTAGCATTCATCCCACTCTGGTCATTGACTCTTGGTCAGTTCATTTGAAGACAAATAAGTAAGTGTTATGATGTAATCCAGGATGCATTGCTCACGAAAATGGTTGAGGAAATCACTAGTAATCATACATAGGATACCTGATAAATTTTGACAAAAATTATTAACAGGAGAACAGAAAATCATCTTTTGATTGGGAATGGCAAAGAAGTGGGATGAAAATGTAAATAGTCGCGCATTCATCATCAATTGTAAATATCGTCAACGTTAAATCTCTTTTTGCTTTGTTTTGATGTGCATTGTTATCTGTTCTTAACGGCATTCCTTTATGGTATTGGTAAAGTGATTATTATTGCATGAGAATCGAGTACAGACTAAGGACGGAATTGCACTGAACTGACAGTTTTCCATCAAACTGTCACTCACCACGGTTCCTCACGCATTAACAAATAAAGATGTCAACGATGAACTGAATGAAACGCATTCAACTATCTTTCCTATCGCAAGAAACTTTCTTTCCACATTTGTTGGAAAGATCTGTTTCCGTAAAATGACACGGAGCCGAGTAGCATAATCGAACTTAAAGATTACGTGTAGTTACGTGTAGGAATAAACTCAATAGCAATAATGATA